AGCCATCTCACCAGCCCCTAGTTAGAATTTCTGACATGGAATTTTTTTTTCGTTTTTGAATGAAAGGTAAAACTTAGTGGTAAAGTGCTTGCGGATCAGGTGAGAGGCAGTCTTGGGTTGATCACCAGAACCACAAAAACATGATTGTTACTGATTTTTTTTTTTTTTTTGGTGGAACCAGGCATTGAACTCAGGTCCTTGCCCTTGCCAGGGAAGTGCTTATTCTACTGAGCCATCTCCCCGGCCCTGATTGCTGCTGATTTTAATGAACAAATGACATGATGTAATATACTTACCCCACTTCACTGTCCTGTTCTGCCCGCAGCATAGCAAGCCACTGCTGTTTATATACAGAAGTCAGCCATTCTGCAGCATAAACATTAATTAATAATAGATACAAATAGGAGAACATAGAAGATGTGAACATTTTAAATAGTTGATAAAACTGTTACATTTCTAATTTCAACTTTAAAATAGCAATATCAAAAGCATGGAGCTTATATTTCACAAGTATGCTGTAATAATAATAGCTTAATGATCTTGGAGGTGGTGAAGGTTATTCAATTTTGCCTCAAGGTAGACTTTAGATTACAAACTCTTTGATTCATTTAGGATTAAAGACTTTATTTATTTATTTATTTTTGGCAGAACCAGTGATTGAACTCAAGTCCTTGTGCTCGCCAGGGAAGCGCTTATTCTATTTAGCCATCTCCCCGGCCTCTAAAAGATCTTATTTAAAGACCTTATCTTGAATTGAATGGTTTATAGTTTATAATTTCTTCTTGTCAAAATCATTCCTAATATACTATTTTCAGCTTTTATACAATTCTAACAGAAAACTAAATAATGGATTTTTCCTTTATCTGAAAACAGCAGTTAATTCATCCCTTAGGAAACAATCTCTCTAAATTAGTAGATGAAGAATACCCACTCAAGAAATAATTTGGAAAAATTAGATTTGGATGCTATTACTAGAAATAAAAGAGTATACATGGTGGTATACTCCTGTAAGCCCAGCACTTTGGGTGGCTGAGACAGAAGGAGTGTAAGTTTGAGCCCTGTGTGGGCAATGAAGTAATTTAGCAAGATCTTGTCAAAATAAAAAAGGGTGGGTATATAACTCAATGCAAAGGCTCTGGGATCTATCCCCAGTACCACAAAAACAAAAAAAGTTGAGAACAACAAGAAAAAGCAAATAAGTAAATTTAAAGAATACTAATAGAAAAAACAGTCACAACTTTTTATTTTATTTACTTGAGACAGGTTTCATTACGTAGTTGAGGCTGGCCTTGAATTTACTGGGATTTCCTAACCTCAGCCTTCCAAGTACTGGGATCACAGATGAGCGCCACCATGCCTAGCTAATTATGACTTTCTTTTTTTTTTTTAGTACGGGGTCTACAGGGTCTCACTACGTAGACTGGACTAGTAGTGATTCTCCTGTTTTCAGTTCCCAAATGCTGGGATTACAGGTGTGTACCACCACACCCATTCTCAATCACCTTTTTCCGCACACCCCAGGGGCAAGGCCAGCATGGCGTGCCAGGGATCGAACACTGGGCACTGTGCTCTGCCTAAGCAGGGGCTTTAATCTGCTGAGCTATCTGGTTGGCCCTAATAATGACATTTAAATACTTATAAAGTCGTTTTATATTTTTAAATTTTTATGTATTTGATACAGGGTTTCACTACACAGCCCAGACCTATAGTGATCCTCCTGTTTTCAGCCTCCCCAGTGCTGGGATAATAGGCATGTGCCACCATGCCCAGTCCTATAAAGACATTTCAAAAATCTGATCTGGCTGGGGGCATAGCTCAGCAGCATGGCACCTACCTAGTAAGTACAAGGTTCTGAGTTTGATTCCTGGATGAAAAAAAAAGTCTCATCCAAACTAATAAAATGAAATAAATATAATGAAATGATAAATAATAAAATGAAAGAATGGGCATGGTGGTGCACACCTGTAATCTCAGCACTCTGAGATGCGAAGGCAAGATGACTAAAACTTGGGCCCAGCCTAGGCAAATTAGCAATTTCGTGTGACTCTGTCTCAATATAAAGTTTGGACAGGGGATGTAGCTCAATGTGAAGATCCTGGACTCAATCCTCAGTATTGAAAGAAAACAAAAATCCTAAATACAATTAAAGAACATTTGTATTACAGAATGCTTTTTTGGGGGGTCATTTTGAAACAGGCTATCGCTATGTAGTTCAGGCTGGCCTTGAGCTCACTCTGTCGCTCAGGCTGGTCTCAAACTCACAGTGATCCTCCTGCTTCAGTCTCCCAGGTGGTGGGATTACAGGTGTGTGCCAACACGCCTGGCCAGAATGCTATTTTAACATTCTAGAAAATTGAAATGAAATGTAATATGGGAAAATAGCTACCACATATACTGTAAAGGCAGAAAATTATGTAGTATAATTCCACGAGGGTATAAAAACTGAATACCTTTTTGGGATTAATGATAATTATTTTCTCCGTTATCCTTTTCTATATGTTACTGCTATCAAAAAATCTGTAATTCACTATCATGAGCTCATCATGTTCTTACCTGAAGGTACTAAAGAATCTTGCTCAATAATCCTTGCAGAAGCCAGATCACTGATGATATACTGCAGCCTTAAATGTCTAAACACTGACATGAATGGTTTCCCTTGCTCAGTTTCAAGGAAGGCCATACTTTCAAACTCTAAAAACAAAAGAGAACAGAACACAGCCATGTAAAAAAATCTATTATTGTATTCCTAAGTCACACACACACACACACACACACACACACACACACACACATTCCAGTAGAATACAGACAGGCTAGTTTCAAGACTTTGAAGAATTTTATAAATCTGAAGAGTGAGGATAAAAATTTAGGAAGATTTAGATATTGGTACTAACTAGATCACTAGACTAAGAGTAGTTTTAGAACTTACAGTGAAACAAGGTAAGAAAGGAAGGTTTGAGAAAAATAGACTATTATTGTTCCAGAATCCCCCTTCCTGAGGACTGAATATTCTAGTGAAACTCTGAAGCTCAAATGCCTAATTCATGCATCTTCACAAGACACACGGTACATGAAACACCTCTTGGTAATGTTAATAAGTACTTTTAGGAATTTCTGCTTCTTGTAACTTTTGCTTCAGCTGCATAGGAAAAACACTATTTAATATTAAATCTCAAGGGTATGGGGAGATAGCCCAGTAGAATAAGCACTTGCCTGGCAAGTGCAAGGGCCTGAGTTCAATCCCCGGTTCCGAAAAAGCAAACAAACAAAAAAGCTCAACTAAAATACAAGACATAGGCCAGAGATATAGCTCAGCAGCTCAAGTGCATGCCTGGCCAAGTGCAAAGTCCTGAATTCAATTCCTGGCACCAAAGTCCAAAGCAAAATACCAAAATAAAATTCAAGACAATAGAGCTGAGTGTGGTGGTGCACACCTGTAATCCCAGCACCTGGGAGCCTGAAACAGGATCATTGCAAGTTTGAAGTCAGTCTAGGTTACCTAATGAGTTAAAGACCAGCCTGAAATGCATAGCAAGACACTGTCTCAAAACACCAAACCACCCAAAAGAACGCTGTCACCTCTGAGCCAATGTAAACCTCTTGTCTAAAAAAAAAAAAAAAAAAAAAGCCACTGCTACCATAATTTGCAATATATGAATAGTGTTAATTTGTTATTCACATCAAGGGCTGGCCAGATAGCTGAAAAACAGGAAGGATCACTACAAGTCTGATTTGTATAGTGAGACCCTGTAGACTCTGTACTAAATACATTAAAAAAAATATTACTCATATCAAGTTCATGAAGTAAATGAATATTTCATATTTTCCTTTAGGAAGAACTTAAGGTTATTCTAAAACATCTTCAGTTGCATTTCAACTTTGTTTTTCCTTTGGTCTTTTTGAGACAGGATCTCACTATGCAGTTCAGACTGGCCTTAAGCTCACTCTGTAGCTCAGGCTGGTCTTGAACTTGCAATGATCCTCTTGCTCTGCCTCCCAAGTGCTGGGATTACAGGTGTGTGCCACCACACCTAGCCCAATGTACTTTCATGAACAGGAAGGAAATACTAAATCTCTTCCAGTAAAAAAAACTGGGCATGGTGGAACTTATCTATAATCCTAATATTAAGGAGGTAGAC